GTGGTTGTGGGGAGACTCCAGCAGGGACACAAGGAGGCCTTTTGGAAATGGCTAGTGAGGGAGGTCCTTTCCTCGAACAGCCGCCTGTCTTGGCGGAGAGGGGAGGGCAAGAGGGTGAAAGGGACCTCATGGTCCCATCTCTTCCTTAGATGCATCCAGAGGGCACCGAAGGAGGAGTTGTGGCAGCCACGACGGCCATGGAGCAGTGAGGAAAACAGCAGCGGCTGGAGTTCTTGTCTCTCTGTTCCACAAATCGTACCAGGTAAAAAAAGGCCTCTGTGTTTGTTGCACCTGCTTCCAGCCCTGCAGGTCTCCTCTGTTCTGCTGCTTCTCTTGAAAACATGGCAGATTTCCCCCCCCCCCAAAAAACCAAGCCAAGCCCTGAACGAAAACAGCCACAAAGGACACGGTGTGGCCTGGGTGGCACCCACGGTCAGGTTGGGTCAGGATGCGATTTGCTAGTCTACTTCCCCATCCCAAGTTAGCTAGACAGGGCCTTAGAACAATACAAGCCAGTTTCATGAGACTTTTGGGATCCGGTTTCTCTGTGGGCTGGAGAGAAAGCTAATGGGTCCAGCTCTCTCTGCCATGCTTTTGGGTACCTAACCAGCAAGGTCTCTGTGGTGAATCTGTAAGTCTTAGGAAAAAAATGCTCTAAGGGGAGTATAAACTAAGAATGCTAAATTGGCAAGATTAGGACTGGATCCCAGATTGTGGATTCAGAGGAAAGAGAAGATTGCAAAACAAAATCCTTGATATTTGTGGAAAGATTCTCATGACTTCTGTTACGAACAGCTTCCACGCTACAACATGGAACCTCGTCAGCCGGTGCCTTTGCAGCCCGAGCAGAGTTTTGTCCGAGATGCCAGACAGAACATGGCTGACCTCTCCCTGTGGACGGTGGTGGCTGCGATCCAAGCCGTGGAAAGAAAGGTGGATTCTCACGCCACCCGGCTGCTGAACCTGGAGCGAAGAATGATGACCAATGAGAAGAAATACGTGGACTGTGAGAATGCTGTGGTGGATTTTGGCAATCAGATGGAGTGCAAGTTGACTGCCTTGGGGACCCTGATCCAGGAGTACGGGCTGCTGCAGAGGCGGCTGGAGAACATGGAGAACCTGCTCAAGAACCAGAACTTCTGGATCCTGAGGCTCCCTCCGGGCTCCAAGGGAGAAACTCCCAAAGTAAGGATGCGCTGCTGTGGTGGGGCAGGGGGAGATGTTCCGCAGTTTCTGCTTTTGTTTGGCCTTGTTACAGTACTGTGAAGGTTATGGCAAGATTCTTAGGTGTGCGGCAATTTAGGGTGCTCTGAAGTTCATCGAGCGTGATTGTTTGGTGGCTTAGATCCAGGGAAGTGTGTTCTGGCTTTCCAGTTTGAGTGCCACAGGTGGCTAACCCTGGCCCTAGTCTTGCACTCCTTTTAGATGGGAACCCTAGTTGGTAATTTTTAGAGGTGTTGCACTGAACTTCAGCTGCCGGACGACAAAAGAAGAGGGATTCTCCTTGTAGACTGGATGCGCAGAGCTGTGTCTGCAGCACCGAATGGTTGGGGAAGTCCACATACAGTAGGTTAGTAATGCATCTAGGGGTCTGTGTAAGCTAGTGTGGTGCAATGGTTGTCGTGTTAGACTAGGGCAGTGGTGTCGAACTGTGGCCCTCCAGATGTTCTTGGACTTCAACTCCCAGATGCCTTCACCACCACCTCTGCTGGCCAGGATTTCTGGGAGTTGAAGGACAAGAACATCTGGAGGGCCACAGTTCGACACCACTGGACTAGGGCATCAGAGGTCTGAGTTCTAGTCCTGACTCGGCCATGAAAACCCACTGGATGACCTTGAGCCGATCCTTTTAATGTAGCCCACCTCAAATGGTTGTTGTGAGGCTAGAGCGAGGAGGAGGAGAAGCATGTATACTGTATTGAACTCACTGGAGAAAAGGCAGGATCGAAGTGCAGTAAATCAGGAAATACACATGTGTGAAGCTAGCACCGCGTAATGACAACTGGAGGTTCTCTGGGTCTTGGTTCTTACTGCATTGTGGCTAATGCAGATGCTTCCGGGTGGATTGCATGTTTTAGAAGGTCAGTTTGAGGTCTTGTTTTGACTTTGGCTGAACTCTGTTTCCAAGGCTATTTCCTCTCTCTTCAGGTTGTGACAATTTGACCCTTGACCAAATATTGGAAGGAGGTGTAAGAGATGGTTTTCTTAGCACATCTGATGCATTGGGTGTTTGCGTGATTCTAATTAATCTAATAACAGGAGGCACATAATTCATCCTCTGCTGTTTTATGGTAATGGAAGGCTTTTCTTCTTCAGCCAGAGGGGTTCCCGGTTCCTAGAAACGATGAACATCTTAGCTAATTCTCTGTAATATAGTAGATCTTCCCTGTAATCTGCATGAATGAAAAAAAGAGTTGAGACATTCAGCCTAGCGGCCTGTATTGGAGCCGTGGAGTTTCGTTTTTAAGGAAAGGCCCTGGAAGCCCTGAGGGAGACAGGGGTTGGGTTTGACGTCCCTCAAGGGAATGATTTTCACATCAATCTAGACTAACCCAACAGGTGCCTCGCTGGAGATAGTATGGCATTATCAGTCAGGAGCAACCCTCTCTCTAAATTTTCAGCCCTGCTAGGTGGGGTTCTGCCCCTTGTGTGCGTGGCACACACACCCCAGCACGTGTGGAGTTCCATCACAATCAGAACCAAAGGAACTGAAAATGATCACCGTGGGTGCACAGAGGGTGGGCGGAGGCGAGCACCTTAGAGGCAACCTTGGTCAGGAGGCTCAGATAATCATTTTCAAGGTGTTGCTTGCTTTTACTTATGTTCGTTCTTTCTTTGTTTTCACCCCACCTTTCTCCTTTAAAAAGTACCTGGGGTGTCTTACATCATTAAAATACCATATTTAAAGTCAGAACCAGTAAGTATACAAATACTAGAAAGGATCAAACAAACACCACTCTAAAAAAACAGTAAATAAAAGCAACACCAAAAACACAATCAATGCAGCAAAGCAGAAGTGTCTAATTAAAAACCTTTCTCAAGCAGCCAGTCGTTAAGGGAAAGCTAGCTTGAAGAGAAAGGTCCTTGTCTGCTTGTGGAAAGATGAGGCTAGCCTGGCCTCCAGTGGGAGGGAGTTCCAAAGTCTGGGAGCACAAATTTGGCTGCTCAAGACCTGTTCCGTGGTGAGTAAAATTATGAGCATTTGTACTAGTCCTCTCCTATCTACTGGAGCAGAGGCAACGGTTAGCTTTGTGAAACAGTGCTCCTGGGTCAGGTGGGCTTCTGGTCTGTCCCCTAGCAGCTACTGGTACTATAAGGATTCAGTTACTCTTGGTCTTATAGCCTGGTGGGCTGGGGCTTTCTGCCTGGTTGCGGGGGTGGGGACATGGTTTAGCTACCCCACATTTGCTTCTCAGTTCATTCTCTATAAGGAGCCCCAATTTAGCTTTCGGGGCCCCTCTCACAGATGGTTGCCTGTGTTATATCTTGAGATCAGTCTTTCTGTTGAATTCGAGAGTGCTTAGCAAGCCACAGCATCGGGCAGTAAACAGGTTTTATTCGTGGTCTGCTTGTTCTGTGGAGGCCGCAGCCTTTTGCAGAGGCTGCCTATGGTTGGCTTCAGGTTCACAGTCACGGGGACTAGCAGCTTAGTTGAAATTGTATACTCTGAGAATCCAAGAGTGACCAAGCCCTAAAGGCAGGGGACCAGACGTGGGAGACATCACATGGATCAGCTGTGAAGCACCTGTGCCGTCCCTGTTTCCCTTCCCTTCCCTTCTAGGAGGTTTTCGCCAGCAGTCCTAAAGCGACACCTGCTGATGCCAGATTTGGGCGTCTCCTATAAAGGAAGCCCTTCCTTCTGAGAGGAGCTGTGTTTTTGTCAGCACTCAGAGGGCCATATATTGTTTTCCAGGTGGCTGGGGCCTGCTGGGCTCTGTAATCGAACACATCAGAAGGGCATTAGGTCCAGGAAGGTTGATTGAGAGAGCATTTGAAGAATGATTGTGGAAGAGCCATGCGTCCCTATTGGATAGCAACTGTGTCATCAGTGACTATCAGTAGTGTTTGCTATCTTTAAAAAAATTACGAAAAGCTGTAAATGGCCCTGGAGCCTTGCAGAGTAAGACAGACATCTGCCTCAAGGAGCATTTACAGCATTAAATTTCAAACAGGAAGGCAGGGGAGGTGGCGTTTGGCTGCTACAGTTGGTTCATGCTTCCTTTTATGATGGCTCTTTTCCTCTCACCAAGAGTATGCTCATTTTGCAGCAAAGGGACCTTGCACAGAAACTGAGGCTGATTAATATCAAGATAATCTCGTACCGAGAAGTGGTGCCTTATTCGTTCACACTGCTTTCATTGTTTTGGGCATTTGGATTGCATGTCTCTGAAACTTTGTTTAAAAAAACAGAAAAGATGTAGTCCCATTGCATCTTCTGCTTTTTTTTTTTTTTGTAGTAGGCCATGGGTTTTGTGGAATTGTGTTTGAGGTGAGACTTGCCTGATAGAACAATGGAAGCTAAAAAAAAAGAATTCCTGTTACGTGAGTTGCTTGGATAATTTCTAAGTATTGGACAGGTGGAGAGTCAAGGGAATGCGTGGATGGGGAATCTCCTTGTTGGGGAGAGTTTTAGGATTCAGGGCGTACCGATTCCCCACTCGCTCCTTGAGCTCCTCTTTTCCCCTGCCAATCAAGCTCTGCATTGACAAAGCATGGACCAAGGCTTTGTATTCCAGCCGTGCAGGGAGAGCGCTAGCTTGGGGAGGGGGCCTCGGAAGGGGTCCAGGTGAACATCAAGCACTCCTCTCTGAGGGTCCACATCTGTGCCTCTCTTGGTTTCCAGGTGCCAGTGTCCTTTGAGGACAACTCTGCCTACTTCTCTGAGCAAGAGTGGGGGAACCTGGAGGAGTGGCAGAAGGAGCTGTACAAGAACATCATGAAGAGCAACTACGAGTCGTTGGTCTCGCTGGGTAAGGGCGGTGGCCGTGTGTGTGTGTGTGTGTGAGTTTGGCTCTTTGGTTGGCAGCTCCTTGATGTAACCCGCTCGCAGGCCTTCCATTTAGTTGGGCGCGCACGCACGCACGCGCACACACACACTGGCTCTTCGGTTGGCAGCTCCTGATGTAACCCACTCGCAGGCCTTCCATTTAGTTGGACACACACACACAGACAGACAAACAGACACAGATAGATAGACAAACACAGAGAGAGCGCGCCAAACTGTTATTTGCTGCTACTTCACTTTGTTCATTATTCAAGTCTTTCCCAAATATCCCCAAGGTTCCTAATCACCCGTCAGCTTCTCCACTCATTCCTTCTTTTCCAGGGTCCCCGTTTGCCAGCCCTAAGTGTGTGTCTTCTCATTAGCACATGGCCCTTCCGTTTTTATACCAGAACACCTCTGTGTAGGAGACCAGCCAGCGTGATGTCCTGCGTAGAATCTATTGGCTGGTGACGACAATCAGATGTTGATGTGGAGTGGGAGTGGGGAGTTTTGGCAGCATCCGGCTCAGTCTCCTGAATACAGGCGTTTCCTGTTCATTTGCAACAAGCAGGTAGAAAGAGTGCCATCTTCTTCTTCTTCTTCTCAACAGACTACGCTATTGCTAAACCAGACCTTCTGTCCCGCCTTGAACAAGGGGAACGCCCCTGTCAAGAAGAGGAGGAGGAAGAGGAAGGGGAGGTCTCGAAGGGGAGAGAGATTGCTTCGGATCCCAGCCCAGGTGAGAAGCGTATGGAGAGGCTGTGACAAAGCGGGACCAGGGGAAATGGTCAAGCGATGAGGGTGGCCTGATTAGATCATCCGTACAAACAGGCTGGAGTTTGCAAATGCTGGGCAGGGCAGTGCAGGACAGAACCTTTTGGAGGCTGCTCATTCATGGGGTTGCACATAAGAACGACATAAAATATGAGCTTTTCTAGATTTTAATTCTTAAGAAACTGGAGTTCATGTTGGAGGGGGGCTATGGCCCCTGTGGCACCTCGGGGAGAACTTCATCTAGGCCTCTGTTCCAAAACCACCCTCTCGCTTATGTCTCCCGAAACAGAAGCGCTGGTTTTTAGGCCAGGCCTGGCCTCACAAATGGAAGCAGGAGAAAATGTTCGGGGTGATGGAGACCAGGAAACAGCTGAAGGAAGGGTGGCCCCAGGAGAGGCTAGTGCCGGTGAGTGAAAGGGTCCTGTCATCTGTTTGTCGGGCAGGTTCTTCAGCGTTGATCAAAATCCCAAAATTTTTTTCCTCCTCTAAAGATCATGTCACTTTGGAAAGAAGCATACTGCACACAGTTTTTAAAAATGAAGATCTATGGGAAGGCCATTGCAGTTGCCAAAGGAGAATCCCCTCGTGCAACAAGTTGTCCGACTGTCCTTTCAACTAATTGAAAGCCACGTATATTTTGGCTCAGACCAGAAGAATGGGAGGGGGAAACTTGTGACCCTCCAGATGGGGGTTAGGCTGACAGTTGCCACCACCTCGCCCCCACTCCCCCCCGCCACCCCCCAGGAGCATTGGCCAGGGTTCACTGCTGGTGAGGGGAGTTAAGAGCCCAAGAGCATCGGAAGGACCAAATGTTTCAAGAGTTATGGAATGGGAGGAAGAGCCTCCATCAGCACTCTGTCCTTTCCAGCCACGTTGCAGGAAGCGAGATGCTCTTGCCTGTGGTCTGCCAAGCTCTCCCTGTGAGGAGCTGAGTGTCCCTGGGGGGGGGTAGAGCCTCCCCACTCCCGCCCCCTCTCTTTTGAGAGAGAGAGAAGTGGAAGCCACCACAAGGACAGCTGTATCCCTCCCTCATTAAATCCAAGGCAGAGGGAGGAGGGGGGGGAGTCTTGCCCCTGTCCCAGGGGACCTGCTTCCTGATTACCTTTCTGTTGGGACAGACTTCGGAGTGGCCGCCCCGTCCTTTGGCTCCCAAGGGAAACAGGATCAAGAGGGGAAGCTTGAGGGCCCCGAGGTCTCCGAGGAAGGCGAGTTGCGCGTCAAGCCAAGCGCGGGTGAGTGATGGGCCTGGCCCTTGGAGGAGGGAAGAGTGGTGCTCCTGGCGAGGGCGGTGGAGGCGCAAGACGGCCAGCCCTTCAGGAAGCTTGGGTTGGGTTCCCTCCCTGCCCCCCCCGCTCCCGCCCACTGAGCCTTTCCTGCCTGAGGCTGGCTGCTGCTTTCTGTTGCCCTCCTTTGCTGCGCTTGATCTTGGCGCCCCTTGCCAGCCCTGCCAAGTGGAAAGGCAGCTCCTCTTGCTGTTTGTGAGGGCAGGACTTGAACGCGGCCGGCCGGAAAGAAGGCGATGCTGACAGAAGGCTCAGGCGCAGCCAGTGTGCCCAGCGGTCGGGGCTCTGCTGCCAAGAGAAGGGTCTTGTGCTTTTTGTTTCCATTGATGGTATTTTGTCATGTATGCTTGTTGGGTAAAGTAGGGTAGAATGGACATTGGCTAAGTGGACTGTTTTCACTCGCCCTGCTCCCCCGTGTTCATCCCTCATGGAGGGAAGTTGCTGTGCAACTCTGTAAGGTCCGTCTTGGTCAGCACTGCTTTTCTGAGTCCCGCCTCCCGTCCTCTTCTACGAGAGGGGCCAAGGCCTGGACTTCTGGACTGGGCAAAGAAGTCCTTCTTCCTGCTCTCTGGGTGCCCCGTCCTTCAGACACAGGGCGCCTTTTGTGCAGTGAGCCAAATAACTGTTGCAAGTTAATGCAGGACACAGGATACAAAGGCTTTTAATGGGCGGAAGACGGTACAGAAAGGCCGTGATATAAAGCAAAAAAAAAGAGAAAAAAGAAAGAAAAAAAGAGAGAAAAAAAGAAAAAAGCCAAGTGTGCTGCTTATATACTGCCCTATAGAGCTTAAAGCGCTCTCTGGGTGGTTTACAATTGAATTATGCAGGCTACACGTCCTCTCCCCCCCCCCCCGGTGTGCTGGGCTGGGTACTCATTTTACCAACCTCTGAAGGATGGAAGGCTGAGTGAACCTTGAGCCGGCCCCCTGGGCTTGAACTCTGGGGTTGTGCGCACAGGCTCTTATAGACTGCGGCTGTCGTGCAACCAAACCACTGTCCCCTTCGGCCACTCCTCATTATCCAAAAACGATGTCTTGTGGGCTCTGGGTGCCCCTTTCAGAACTGGGATCCTCTGTACTGTCGCTTGAAGCCATCGTGTTTTATCCCACTACTTATTTATTTATTTATTTATTGCAACAAACGCCACTTGAGAGGTACACAACTGTGTTTTAGCCAGAGGGCTCTCCTAGTCACACAGAGGTGACTCCGTTCTGTTCGTCTGCATGAACTTCCACTTCCTTGCTGGATGCTGGCTTTCCTGCTGGCTGTCTGGTATGCCCAGGCGAGTGCGCAGCGTGGGTGCCCTTGCCCTAAGAGATATAGTCGCTGGCATGACTTTTTTTAAAAAACAACAGAAATAATTGGCTGGGGCTGCTCTTGGGCGGAGCCCCATGCTCAGCAAACTGGGCAGGAATCTTGGGGTTGAAGGAACAGGTACACTCAGGGAGGACGGGCCGGTTGTGTGTCACTGTGACCCAGGTCCTCGGTTAAGAAAAGCTCCGTGCTCCAGTCTGAGTGGACGAATCCTGCAAAGGCAAAATGGCTTTTTCCAGCCCAGTGACCAGGGGACCGTGCAGTCCATCACCACAGCTTCCTGCTCTGACCCCCTCCTCACCTTCACTGAAGATCACATCTGTAGCCAGAAGGCCTTGCTGTTGTTTTTAAAAAGGCAAGCTGGAATCCTTGAGGCTGGTGTGTCCATGTCAGGGCGCGAGGGCCTTGCTGGCAAGGTGGACGAGTGACCGTTTGGGCAGTTGCTGGTTGCCGTGTGGCAGGCGTTGCGGCTGCGCTCGGGTCTCCCTCCCCTGTTGACCCTGCTCCACCCCCACCCACCCCCGTCACACGAGAAGGTATAGAGGATGGCCTGTTTTGCTGCTCTTGCTACAGCAGTCTTGCTTCTACTCTGCTGTTGGGGGACAGAGACTAGGGATGGGGGCCACAGAGCCGCCTCTGGCCCCAGCCACGTGACCTTTCTAAACGTCATCCGAAAGCATAATCCCCATTGGAAAGAAACGCAAGGTACCCTTTACCTCCATAGGTTCTGGACGGCTTCCTCTTGGGCCAGCCAGAGTGGAGGGGGGGCTGCCCTTCCTCCCTACCAACCAGGCTTGGGAAAGGCGGATTGGTCTGTCCCGCTTGACTAGCCGAGGAGGAAGGAGATCCAGTGCCAGCCCAGTGGTTTCAGGAGTCGGAGGCCGACGTGTATTTTGTAGCAGAGGAAATCCAAGCCCGGCGGTGTTGCCAGCGCAGCGCTGGTCAAGGCTGGGCAGAGGCTTGGAGGAGGAGGGCTCTTGAGTTCTGAACGTGGAATGGGGAGAGGCTGGTTTAGAGGCCCACCTGGACAAAGACATGGGCAGCTGGAAAGATGAGCAGAGCCGGCCGGCTGGCGAGGCTGAGAGGAGAACGCTGGGAGAGCGGCAGGCGCAAGCCCTTCATGTAAGAAAGACCGCCAGCTACTGCCTCTTCCCCTTTCTCGCCTGTTTCTTGACACCCCCCACCCCTACCCCCGTCTAGCTGCAGCTGCTTCTAGGAAGGGTGATCGCGAACCACCTCTCTTTGCTTTCTTCGTCTGTTTTGGCCTGTTGTTGGTGTCCTATGTAAAAGCACCCAGAACATGCCCCCCCGAGGGTGGGGGTGGCAGGGACCCTCCACAGAACTCTGCTCTGACAGGCTAGTGATGGCAGGGAGGGGAGGGGAAAGCCGGGGAGGGCTGGAGGCCTGAGAACGGGGAGAAAGAGAGGGGCTTTGGAGGAATGTTACTGAAAAAAAGCAAAGGCTCCGTAATCTAAGCCCATAAGTGGCTAGCTAAAGGAGGCCATGGGCCTCCGGGAGAGAATGGCGCCCCTTCAACGGGGCGGATTCCTAGCAAGGGGTGCTTTCTGTGCTATTTTGGCCCAAGGAGAGGCTCGGTGTAAAAGCGAGACGTCGCGGGGCTCGTCCACTCCCCAAGCTGGGGGCTTCCTTTAAAGTAAAAAGGAAGGCTTGACCTAAGCGCAGAAGGGGCCTCCTCAGGCCATGCTCGGCCAAGAGCCGTCGTGCGGCTTTTGGAAAGGGAGGCGTGGTGCACTAGACCCCATGGAGGAGGGAAAGGGCCCTTGTCTTCAGCAGGCATCACCGGGCGGCTGCGCCCATCAGTCCAAGGCCCAGGCAGGAGCCACTGCCCGTTTCTGCACAGGGGCCCACGGCTGTGCCCGTGACGCCGAGTAGGTCAGCCAGGGTGGCGTGCCCCTTAAGTGTCCCTCTGAAGAGCTGCGTCGACTGGCCAAAGGAAAGGACAGGTGGGCACACCTTAAGGGTTTTTTTTAAAAAAATGGTTTGGGTAGGATAGCCAGACGTTGGAGTATGGCACACAAATCCCTTTTCTTTGTATCCAGCAGATGACGGGCTTGCTTTCAAAGCAGAAGTCCTCCAGGCTCAGAGAGCCCTGTGCGAAAGCTTGGGCCTGCAGTGCACGGAGGAAGCCCTCCTCCACAGCCCCCACCAGGGCCCTTCCGTCGGGAGCCGCTACAGCGCCCTGATGCACCACCCGCGGAGGCACCCGGAGAGCCCGACCGAGGAACCGCTTCCAGGGGAAGGAGGCTTCGGCGGCGGGAGCAGCGGCGGCGGCGGCCCCGTGGGGGCGTACCAGCGCGACCGCTCAGGGGACAAACTCTTTCCGTGCCCCGAATGTGGGAAAAGCTTCCGGCTTCAGAAAAGCCTCCTGATCCACCAGCAGAGCCACGCCGCCGGGATGGGCTACAGGCCGCAGTGTGAGAAGAGCTTCACGTACAAGCAGCAGTTCACCCTCCACCAGCGGATCCACACCGGAGGAGGAGCCTACACTTCCGTGGCGTGCGAGGAGACCTTCAAGCAGAGCCACAACCTCAAGCCTCTTCCCCGGGGACCGGCGGGGGAGAAGCCCTACGGCAGCACCAAGTGCGTGAAAACCTTCAACCTCAAGTCCTCCTACCGGCAGCACCCGAAGGGCCACGGGAGGGAGAGGCCGTACAAGTGCAGCCGCTGCCCTGAGAGCTTCTCGCAGAAGAAGAACCTGGTCACCCACCAGAGGCTCCACTCGGGGCGAGGCGGAAGCTCCCTGGCCTGCTTGTACTGCGGCAAGAACTTCAGCCACCCCTCGGATCTGACCCGGCACCAGCGGATCCACACTGGGGAGCGGCCCTATCGGTGCGGCGAGTGTGACAAAAGCTTCACCCAAAAGCAGCACCTCCTGCAGCACCAGAAGATCCACCTGCGGGAGCAGAACCGGCTGATGGGCACGGCCGTTCGGGAGGCCCTCCTGGACGCCATCTTCATCTAGGGGGCTCCCCCCCCCAGGGCACGATGTCTCCCCACCCCCACCTGCCCAGCAGGTGGAGAGGGGAGGGCAAGATGGGCAAAGAGACCTGTTTACCTCAAAAATGGACTCTCAAGAGTTTAAGGTCCTGTCGGCTCCGGTACTTGATAGCAATTTGGTTTTTTTTTTAAAAGGCGTCTAGAGGTTGTTCGGAGTTGCTATAAAACAATGGAGTGGGGTTAGTCACAAAGCGTTTCTGGGATTGTCTTTTCTGTCTTGTTTGGAGTGTTCAATACTGTAGCCGTCCTTTCCCTGCTGTCTCACTCTATTAACCGGAAGATTTTTCACTTCAGGATGCTCAAGGCAGAAGGCGGGTCGATCCAGAGATGGGGCACCCTTTCGTCTTTCTGTAAACACCGTTTTGTCAGAATGGAACACTTTTATATATATTTTCTCGGTCCTTTTTTTTTTTTTTTTTTTTTTTTATTTTTTTTCGTTTCTTTTTTTTTTTTTTTTTTTTTTGGTTCTGTGGAAAATAAAAAATAAAAATAGAGATGCAAAAAATAGCTCTGCGGGCTGTTTGCTTTTTGTGTGTGTGTGTGTAAGTAAGAACATGTGTCGGGAGGGTGCGTGTGCATGTGCACAAATACTTTCATCATATACCGGGGATGGGGGGGGGAATGATCTCCGCTTTTGAAAGCAGATGGAAAAGAGCTGCCTTGTTCATGATTAAAGCAAAGGAGAAAACTGTGTTTTACCCAGATTTTAAAGCAATGTGGCCCAGCCCATATCATAGATGGCCTCTAGGTTTCTCAGAGCAGGAAACCCCCCAGTCCCTGACCATCTAAAGCAGGGGGACTCGCCATGCTGGGTAGAGAACGAGGGAATTGGCAATGGGCCACCCCACCCCACCACCCCCGGGGGGGGGCTGTTTGTACAGGCCTTCCAGTCATTGGTTTCTCTCCTAACCGAGCCACACTGATCACGCAGCCCCAGCCTTAGAGTTTCCCTCCTTCCAAGGGATCGACCATGTTTAGCCTGGAGGATGCTTTGCTGTCTTCCTAAGGGAGCTACCGTCTCCCCCTGGGCTGGAAGATTTTAAATAGGGATTTGAATTCCTGGGAAGGATTTTTCTGGCCTTGAAGAAGGAGTGGGGAGAATGTACTTCATTTTGAGGAATAATGCTACATGGGTGTCTTAAAGCAAGTACTGTATGTGTTTGTGGGAGTAAGAAAATTGCAAATGATAGTCTCCCCATGCTTCTGTGCACACCCCCATGAAGTTGGGATGCTTCTGGTATCGCGCCTATTATTCCCAGGGATCTTCCAGAGGAGGCATACCTTGATGAGCAGAATGGGTGTTGATTCCTTGGGGTGCTTCTGGTATCGCGCCTATTCTTCCCAGGGATCTTCCAGAGGAGGCATACTGTACCTTGATGAGCAGAATGGGTGTTGATTCCCGTCCTCCTTTGCTGACCTAAGTCTAGTAGGCTGGTGAGAACACTCCTCTTATGCCTTTGTCCTTTAGGAGGGAGGGAATACGGCTGTGGCAGAAAGCAAGCGAGGAGGAAACAATGGGGTGGGGGTGGAGAAGGGGAATTATGCAGCGACAAGAGGTCTGTGCTATGGGTTGCTAGTGGACTTTGGCTCTGAAGAATCTTCGCCTCCATTTCCAGGGGAGACCAAGAATTCTAGGTCTTCAGACTCAGTGGGCACAGTCAGGGAAAGCCCCAGAGGTGGAGAAGGAACTGCTCCTTGGGGCAAGTGGGTGAGGCTTTCATGTCCGATGTTGAACCCCTTTCTGCCTTCTTCAGCTTCCGTCCCATGTGCCCTTGCTGCAGTGTAGACCTTTCGGCTCTGGCAGCTAAACCGGTAAATTTACCTCCTCAGCGGCGGCCTGGATTTGGCTGTGCCATTCCTGATGAACAAGGTCCTCTGTGCTCAGATATCCTTGGCACGCAGTTCACAGCCGTGCTGGGTCTTGGAAGAGTGGGCCGACAGTGGCCCTTCCCACGGCCCACCTCTCTCCTGCCCTGGGTTAGAAGGCTTTGTGCTCCTGTAGCGAATCTCTTCTGCCGCACTGCTATTCAAGCATCTCTAGGCCGTAGTGATCTTGTTAGATGTCTCACACACACCCTCCAATAACTTTGGGTCTCCTTTGTGAACTGAAATACTTAATGCTTCATCTTCGACCTCTTGGCGGTTTATGAAGGGGCTGCACATGGAGGCTGGAGGCTGGCTTAATATCCTGGTGGAGAACAACACCCCCCTTCCTGTTTCTTCGTAGAGGGGGCTCTTCCTGGCCCTCCATTCCTCTCCTTGGTCGTGTATGAAGAGAAGAAAGGAGACTTTTGAATCCCCAGAAGTCTCCTCTAGCTCTGTCAAGTGCTAATGTGTGTTGTTGGCAAGTGTTAACAAGGATGTTTTGCCACTTGGGCCAGCCTTGGTGGCGGGGTGGGGGGGGAGAGAAAGCAGAGCTGGTTCAGGGACTGCCTCTCTTTCTGCTCTTCACCTTCCATCCCTGAGTGAATGAGGGAGGATCGGGGTGGGTCGGTGGGTTTCTGGTATCAGCATCAGAGAGAGGAGAACACCATGCCCTTTGCCAACCCCAGGCCTCTCCACCTTTTTACTGTATTCCCAAATGCCGCCAGGCTTCCGGACAGGGTAGCTGCTGTGGTGCCCTTTGGGACTCTCCTTTCCTGCACCGCCTCTAGCTCAGCGGTATCATTTTTCTTGGGTGAAGTGATGAGAACCAGCAACTTACATTGCTGATTCATTTTAAGCAAGTAGGGCACTGGCCGTTCTATTTTCAAATCAGAGGGTGATTGGGAATGTTCCTTTTCTTGGCTACACCTCCCAGAATCCCCCCCCCTCCCGTTCGCCAAAGTTCCTGACCTGATTCAAATCCATTTTCAATCTTGCTTCACATGAATTTGCTTCTTCCGGGCTCAGCATTTTCAGTGGGCAGTTCAGCACAGCCCTAAGATGGTGAGTCACTAGCAACTCGGAGCCCATCCGTATCGATGGAAAAGGTGTTGCGGTGGTGGGGGCATTGTTTTTGGTCATGAATGTGCATCCCTTTGCACTTTCTTTTCCTTTTATTGTCGGAAGAGGCATCACTTCGTGCTTGCATTCTGTTGAGCCTCATTGGCTCTCCGGTCTGCCAGCTGGGAAGAGACTCTTTGGACGCTCTTCACAATCTCTTTCCATTCTCACCACCAGCAGTGATTTGATGTAACGCCCGATAATTTCTCAACAAGTTTCGAAGCCTTTGTCCCTGCATTGTGAAAACAGATCATGTTTATCCCTGCTTTCCGGCCTGTTGTCAGTTTTGAGGTTAGCTGCTTTGGGTCCTTGTTAAGGAGAAAGGTGGGGCAAAACTATTTTAAATAAATAATTTCCAGACCGGAAAAGGAATTTTTTCCTCACCCTTGTGACTACCAAGTTTGTTCGGTTTGAGCAAGACCTCAGTGCCTTCTTCCCTGCATGCTTCCCTGGTTCGGTTCTCCCTCTCAAGATGGCCCTGAAGATCTCTCTCTGGCCCTCATTCTGCCCCTCATGGCATTTGAGGAAACCACCCAGATGTTGATATCCTCCGTCCAGAGATCTGTACCATAATGACTAGGGGTAAAATGGTGAGGATGTGGACCTTTGTATCTGTCGCCCTTTATTTGGCCCTTGGGGAAGGCATCCTGTTTCTCAGGTGTGGAGGGAACTGTGTTGAGAGCACCATGCCGTGTTTAGGGGTTAAGGGTGCTGAATTCATGTCAGCATCCAGGGAAGCTAAGCTCTTAGGGAAAGGAATACGCAGAGGCAGTGTTTGCACTCTTGACTGTCAAGGGGATGAGCTTAAAAATGTGTTGAGAAGGTTTCAGAGGTTATGGAAGGGATAACCGGAGACTCAACCTTAAAAGCCTCAAGCCTTGTAGTCAGAGTGAAGTGTACACCTCTGCAGAACTTGAAACAGCTAAATTTCTGGCCTCTAATTCCCAGCATCCTCGAGCCAGGACGAGCCCTTTGACCTGGAAGTGACAGTTCAGAAAATGACCTTTTCCCCCAGTTCAGTCCAGAGATGGAGATGCAGTTTCACTGGTCTAGGGCATTTCACAGGGTCATGTTAGTGTGTTCCCTCGACCCACCCCATGTTTGTGTAATGGGTGGATGGCAAGGTGAAAGGTTTTCCGCTCTGCCGAATTCCGCTCTTTGATGTTTATGCTGGGTTTCAGTTTCAGGCTGTAGTGAGGGAACGGGGCAAGCACCGACGACCTTGTGTACCGGCTGAGAAACATGCCCCTCAGTTCCTTTCTTGTGGCCACTTCCAGACTCTCAGACCTAGCCAGAGAAATTGGCCTCCCCCCCCCCACGTGGCACCCGTTCTGAGCGTGATGGGCCTTCCCTCCATCCTCTGATTTGGACGGGGTGAAACGGTGGGGTGAGATCGCGATCCTCATTCTCTCTCTGCTTCCCTCCGCAGCTCTCCCCGTGGACAAAGAGTTGATGGAAGCCAAGCAAGAGAAAAAGCCTGAACCCCACGAGTTGTGGACACCGATGGGAGCCGTCCGGGAAAGTGTCCTTCTGGGCAAGGGGACCCTTTGCCCCGAACTCTGGCTGGGACTCCCTCCGGGAGAGCCGAGAGGCTTCAGTCCCCTGGTGGCCAGTCTGGCCGAGTGGCAGAAGCACGGGGAGGCCGCGGGGAGGCCCTCCTACTCCTGCCCCGACTGCGGGAGAAGTTTTGCCTTCCCGGCTGGCCTCCCAGACCCTCGGCAGAGCCACAGCAGCCTCGGATCTCCAGGGAGTAGCCTGTCCTCTCCGCCCAAGAGCGAGGGCCTCCTTCTGCACCCGCTCGGGTACCTGCAGGAGGCAGGGGAAGGGAGGTTGTCTCCCTCGCAAAGCGGGGAGAAGGCCTGGGCGTGCCCATGGTGCCAGCAGCGCTTCCGCCTGCGAGTCAACCTGCTGATCCACGAGAGCAGCCACTTGGAGGCCGCGGCAGAGCTGAGCGGCCAGGATCGGCTGGCGTGCCGCTTCTGTCCCCGGCGTTTCGGCCGCTCGGACCACCTGCTGCGGCACCAGATGAGCCACACGGGGGCCCGGCCCTACCAGTGCTCGGCCTGCGAGAAGAGCTTCACGGACAAGAGCAAGCTGACCAATCACTACCGCATCCACACCGGGGAGCGCCCCTTTCGCTGCTCCGTCTGTGGCAAGCACTTCATCCGGCGGCACCACCTCATCAAGCACCAGCGGACCCACACCCGCGAGCGGCCCCACCAGTGCCCCGTCTGCCCAAAGAGCTTCATGCAGAAGCACCACCTCCAGAAGCACCTCCGCACGCACACGGGCGAGAAGCCGTACCCGTGCAGCCGCTGCCCCAAGGCTTTCTCCTGCCGGCAGCGCCTCCTGCAGCACTGCTGTGGCGGCGGGGGCCTCTCCTCGTCCTTGGCCCCGGGAGGAGCCGGGGAGCCCGGGACATCCTCGGGAGGCCCGGTGTTCAGACAAGGCCGTCCTCACCCGTGTTCCAAAGAAGAGCAAGACCTGGCCTGCCTCTCGGCCATTTAGAGGACTAACAGACCACCTCTGAAATTCCTCCCCTTTTTTTTCTCCTTGGGGCTGCTTGGCTTTGGAAGTACCGTCGGGAGCACAACTGGCCCCCTGACTGAAGTCGTCCCCTTGGTTGGGAACCTCCTTTAGCTCCTCCACCAATTTGGCAATGAAGAGCAAGCTGCCCTTCCGTGGAGGAGGAGGAGGAGGAGGAGGAGAAGGAAGGGGACCACTCTGCCAAACAGCAGCTCTTCTACAAACTTTGGTGGGGGCGATGGGGAGTCCCTTTCCTGCTCTTTCTCCGCTGACCAAGCAGCTCCCAGGAGGTAGCGGAGGCTTTAGCACCAGAGAACCGCTGTTCAGAACAGGTCGATGGGAAAAGGAGCGAGGAACAGTCGGTTGGACCTCCCAGGGCCTTCCCCCCATGGACCAGGGCTGCCACAGATTCTGGTTAGCCATTAAATATGATGACGGAAAAGGGTCTTAATGATGCATTTGACATGTGCTTAGAAAAAGTGTTGTGAATGAATGTAAGTATTATGAAACCTTAAACTTTTTTTTTTTGCCAATGTTACATTTTCTTTTTCAGGTGCTCTAAGGCAGTGGTCCCCAACCTTGGGCCTCCAGATGTTCTTGGACTACAACTCCCACAAGCCTTCGCCACCACCTCTGCTGGCCAGGATTTCTGGGAGTGGAAGTCCAAGAACATCTGGAGGGCCAAGGTTGGGGACCACTGCTCTAAGGCATATGGCGTTAGAAATATAGAGGGTTAAGGGAACGTCCATCTGATCGAATTTGGGTGATTTCCATGTGGGGTATAGTAGTTAGCGTACAGTGGGATTTTAGATCAAAGGAGTTACCATGTTCTGTTTTTTTATTTTATCCTTAAAATTTGGATGTGTCACAAACCTATGACCTGTAATGAAGAAGGCATTGGGAGTGGGGTGGTTGGGATATTCAAATGGACTACCAAAAAGGCTGTTACAATAGGACCACTGTATCGGCAGGATCAGTACCTGAGGTTTCACTTATCTGTTGGCCTGAAAATATTAAATTAAAAAGATATCCCAGAAATATGTTTCCAAGGTGTATTACTAGAACTGGCCACTGGAGGGAGTCAGAGACTATGCTCTATGGAGGGCTCATTATAGCTGGTTGGATCTTGCGTTCCTCCTATGTTTACCTCAAGGAATGGAAGTATATTATGCCTCTCCTCAGAAGTAAACCTTCGTGGCTGAAATCCTGTTGCAGACGGCTTTCTGTGTAAAGGCTGATGAAGTCGTCTGCGGCAGACTTTAAAGTTTCCTACCACCTCATAATGGGACATGGTGGGGCTGCGGGTTAAACCGCTGAAGCCTCTGGGCTGCAAGGTCAGAAGACCAGCCGTCGTAAGATCGAATCCACGCGACGGAGTGAGCCCCCATCGCTTGTCCCAGCTGCCACCAACCTAGCAGTTCGAAAGCATGCAAAATGCAAAAATGTGAGTAGCTCTGGCCACGTGTCCATGGTGGTAAAAGTAAGCGGTGTTCCATGTCTAGTCACTCTGGCCACGTGTCCAAGGAGGATTGTCTGCGGACAAATGCTGGCTCTATGGGTTGGAAACGGAGCTGAGCACCACGCCCTAGAGTTGGACACGACTGGACAAATTGTCAGGGGGAACCTTTGCCTTTACCACCCCATAGGATCCCTTTCAAGCTGGGGAAGTCCTTGGGAGCCTTAGGTTGGGGTGGGGCAGCTGTGACTCTCTGAAAATTCCCACTGCTGCTCCCCTGACAGCGGTGACAGTGTTCTGATATTAAACCCCCACCCCTATTCTGAGGCTCCGGGTTGAAGAGGAGCCTTAGGAAGCGTTGTAACCTCCTGGGTGGGGTGGGGTGGGGTGGGTGGGGGTGCAGGCTGGGTATGAAACTTTCTGTTGAAGATTAAAGCCTGTGGCCCGTGCCCCCCCCCCTCAGCCTTTCTATGGGCCGAGATGCCGCAACCGGATTCCAGCCCCTGACTTTAATGGGGCCCATTTCCTGCTCCCCATCCTTGGGACGTTCACGGCATGAAGTGGAAAGGCTGTTGGGCCATGAGCGGACAGAACCCCTTTTCTCAGCCCCTCACACAACACACACCCCCCGTGAAAGCTGGGGGATGGGAACCAGGACCGCTCTACAGGCGACCTGCCTCGGGTCCAGGGGAAGGGGTCATCCTGACGCAGCCTTGGCTGCCCTTTTGCACCTTGGGTGGGAACAGGTGCGCCTGCTGGCAACCGTGACCCTCCCCCCACACACACACACACCTTTCTGCCAGGGGGCACAAGATTCATCACTACAGCGACGACTATTATAGCAGGTAACTGGTTTTTATCCTCTTTTCCCTCAAGGGAGCTCCAGGCCCCGCGACCCCGGGCTCTCCCTTTCTCCCCGATTTGTGTCAGATCTCCCTCACCAGGGGAGGCAGGGGCCAGGCTCTCTCTCTCTCTCTCTCTCTCTCTCTGTGTGTGTGTGTGTGTGTGTGTGTGTGAGAGAGAGAGAGAGAGGTTCGCCCAACACCCAGCGGGGCTTTTTGTGGGTCTCTCCAATGGCTCTCCGGGATCTCGAACCCTCCCCTCCAGAGCCGGACACGGGAGTGTGTGTGTGGCTCCTGTGGGTCTTGCACAGAAGCCACCCATTTGGCTATCCAGGCCCGAGCGGTGACTCTCTCTCTCTCTCTCTCT